GCGGGCTCGCTCCCCCCGCTGCTCTTTGATCCGCCGCAGAAGGGCAGTGAGCTGCACTTCACTGAGACAGAATGCTCACTCAGAGCATGAGTCTCGCTCTTCTCCGCTCGAGGACCGCCTTCAATGAGGCAGCCCTGCTCTCCCGTTTCTCCTCTCTCAGCGAGCCTCGGAGAGAGAAACAGCGTCTGGGAGCTAAGCAGCCGGGTCTGAGCAATATCACGTTGACACAGAGCCTGCGTGCTCACTCTCCCCGCTGCGGAAGCTGACAGCTTCAAATTGGTGTGTGTGTGTCGCTATGGCTGCACTCACGGAGACGAGCTGCGCTCACGGAGACGGGCTGCTTTTACCATGAAAGCAGTCTACCCCTGTTCGTTCGTGGAAGGCGGCCCCGCCTCCCAACTCTCATGTTTCTCTCCACCCAGTTACCTCGGAGGAAGCAACGGCGAGCTCGCGGGTTGAGCGATCAGGCTTGAGCAATTCATGCTGGCACACATCATGCGTGCTTGATCTGCCAGTATGTGTTACACGTGAGGATCAGTGTCCCTCGTTACACCGAGCGGCTTAATCCTCCTAGGCAGATCAAAGCAGAACGTTCGCAGCTTCGCATTTGTGTGTGCGTCGCTGAGCCCCGCCTCCCCCGCTCTTGTGTTTCTCTCCTCCCAGTTACTCGGAGGAAGAAATGGCGAACTCGCGGGGATGAGCGATCAGGCATGAGTGATTTAACGCCGGCAAGTCCCCACATGCATCACTCTCCACGCAGCTCTTTGATCCGCCAGTGTATTTACATGTGAGGATCGGAGCAGAACGCTGTCAACAATGATTCAATATCGCTGACCGCTTCGTATTTGAATGCGCCTCTCGCCTGGGCCACGCCCATGCTGAGTCTGCGCTCGCTGAGACAGATCGCTCTCACTACGAGAGTTCATGTCTCGCTCTGCTTTGCTCGTGCCTCGTCTTCTTCAATGAAGGCGGCCCCGCCCCTCCCCTTGTCCGCCACGAGTGGATCTGACAGAATGCGCGCTGCACTTTTGATTTTGAGTGTTTACACACAAAGATCATCAGTACTCCTCTTCTAATGAGTGGTTTGATCTTTTTAGGCGGATTAAAAGGGAATGCTGTCACTTATGATTATTATCACTGACCGCTTCAAATTGGACGCATCTGGGCCACGCCCACGCTGAGGCAGCGCGCACGGGGGCTGACTGCTCTCGCTATGAGAGCATTAAGTCTAGCGAAACATTTTCAGCCGCTCAAATTAATCCAACCCCTTGTCACGCGGACTGAGGCCTGGCATGCCAGACTGGGTTTTGGGGATAATAAAACGAGATTATTCACTGCAATTCGCTCGTAGACCCCCGCGATTCAGCGGCGTGGTTCCCACCTCGGTTAGAGCAAAGACACACATCCTGCGCTCCGAGGTGATGAATTTGCTGGTGATAGGAGCCGTAGAAATGGTTTCCCCAGCCCAAAGCGAGTCAGGCTTCCGCAGGCACTATTTTCCTCGTCCCCAAAAGGATGGCAATGGTCGCCCACCCTCGATCTCAGGCACCTGAACCAAGCCCTCATGAAACGGCTGTTCAGGATGATTACATTGAAACAGATCCTCTCGCAAGTGTGCCCAGGGGACTGGTTCTTTTTGCTAGATCTGAAAGATGCCTACTTTTACATCCAGATAGCCCACCACTGCAGACGATTCTTGAGATTCACCTTCAAGGGAGTGGCATATCAAAACACGGTCCTTGCCTTTGGACTGTCCCTAGCTCCTCGCACTTTTACGAAGTGCATGGATGCGGCTCTTTCCCCACTGAGACAGATGGGAATCCGCATTTTGAATTACCTCAATGACTGGCTCATCTTGGCCCAGTCGAAGGATGAGCTACTATTTTACAGATCCTTCCTCCTCAGCCACTTAGAATGCCTGGGACTCAGGGTCAATTTTGCCAAAGAGCGCGCTGTCCCCCAGCCAACAAATCTCGTTCCTGGGAACAGTTCTCGACTCAGCCGAATGAGGGCGGTAGTCGCGCCAGAAAGTGCACTGGCTATTCAGCAGCTCGTGGCCTCATTCAAAGTTGGAGCCCCTCGCCCTCTCAAGGCGTTTCAGAAGATGCTGGGCCTCATGGCCTCTGCGTCTCCGGTACTTCAGCTGAGCCTGCTTCGCATGCGGCCCCTTCAGTGCTGGCTGAAACCGCGAGTTCCATCACACACCTGGTGTCTCGGATGCCTTCATGTCAAGGTGGACCGGGCCTGCGTAGCAGCTCTGGCCCCTTGGAAAGACTCGGTGGATGGAGCGTGGTGTGCTCCAGGGAATGTTCTGCAGAAGGAAGGTGGTCTAGATAGACGCTTCCAACATGGGTGTGCCAGGCAGGTTGAACAAGGGAGCAGACATGCTATATCGGAGCAACATCCCCTCAGAAGAGTGGATGCTCCACCCACATACGGTTCAGAGAATCTGGGAGATCTTCGGCAAGGCAGAAGTCGACCTCTTCGCCTCAGAAGACAACTCTCACTGCCCAATTTACTTTCCGAAGGACAAGGATGCGTTGGCCCAACCTCCTCCTTTACGCTTTTCCCCCGATCGCCCTGATCCCACAGGTAATCAGGTGAATCAAGAAGCGGAAACACAAGGTTCTGCTGGCGGCCCCGCTCTGGAGGACCAAAACACTGGTTCACAGAGCTGTCTCAGCTGCTTATAGCAGCTCCATGGCCCATTCCCCTGAGACGAGACCTCCTCTCTCAGGCGAACAGAATGATATGGCACCCCCAGCCCGAACTGTGGGTTCTGCACCTCTGGCCTCTCGATGGGAGCCTACGGACCTCCCAGAGAGCGTGCTAAACACTATATCTCAGGCTAGAGCATCCTCTACAAGGTGGCTCTATGCCCTTAAATGGTCTGTCTTCTCCACCTGGTGTATGGCCCGCTGCGCAGACCCAAAATTCCTGCGACATATCTCTGATATTGTCCTTCCTGCAGGAGCTGTGGGATAAGGGTTGTTCCCCTTCCATGCTCAAGGTCTATGTAGCAGCCATAGCAGCCTCACACGCTCCTATAGCTGGCCAGTCAGTGGGCAGGAACAACCTAGTTGTTCGCTTTTTTATAAGGGTCTAGGAGGCTCAATCCACCTCGCCCTGTCACCGTTCTTGCATGGGACCTACCCACGTGTTGAGGGCTCTTAAGAGCCCTCCTTTCGAGCCGCTACAGTCCGTTGACCTTCGTCCCCTGACGCTTAAGACTGCTCTGCTACTATCATTAGCATCGGTAAAGCGTATGGGAGATCTGCAGGTGCTATCAGTGAGCCCCACCAGCCTCGAATTCGAGTAAGATGCAGCCTGAAGAAGTGACATTCATGGTTGTTGTCCACACTGAAACTACCTACTGTAGCCAAAGCACAGTAAATTAATTTAGCCTAATCATTTCAGATCTAACAGGTGCTGCTAGAGGAGGAGTACAGTGAGAGTGCCTGGTTCCCACAGTAAAATTTGGTGGTAGTAAAGCTCTTATATAGGGATGCATGAGTGCTGAAGGTTTTTTTAATTAATACTGTCATGAATTCACACAACTTGAAACAGAACTGCTACCCTCTGCTCATTTGCTTGCGTTGGTGGGCATTTTTTCAACATGACAATGACGATATGTATTCTCCCAAGGTGAAAGGACAGTAGAAAGTGATGTCAAATAGATGTAAATAGAAAGTGATGTCAAAAGTCTGGATTTTTTTCTTAACAAGTGTTGTTTGTTTAGCAGTAACACCAGTGACACAACTCCACTGGACAGCCGTTTCCATCATTTTATTTATAATGTTTACATGGCGTTTTAGCTTTTTTGTTTTGTTTTGTTTTTATATCATTGACATCATATACTGATAGTGACATTATTGCATTTCTAATGAGGGAGAAGTTTATTTTTAACAAAGTAAACCTTAAGACATGACCATTTAGGAATAATTAATGGATGAAATAAGTATAAATGTGTGTAAGAGATGTCACATGGACTATTGCTGTATTTGTAGATTGTCTGGCTGTATGGTTACAGAGGAAGGCTGTGGTTATGTGTCTTCAGCTCTGAGTTCAAACCCCTCACACCTGAGAGAGCTGGATCTGAGCTACAATCACCCAGGACAATCAGGAGTCCAGCTGCTCTCTGAAAAACTGGAGGACTCAAACTGCTCATTGGACAAGCTAAAGTATGTCAAGCATGACGTTTTATTATTTCAATTCCTCAGTGTCTATGTGTGTGTGTATATATATAGGTAGGGGTGTCCTTTTTTTAAAGAGAACCAGATTCAATGTATATATATTTTCAGATTTGCTATCAATTTATAAATTAATATATTAATTTTATAAGTAAATGTTAATGAAATATGCAGTTATTACTAAACTAAAGCAGGATTTTCCTTTAAATACAGTAGGAGGCACCTTACATAAAACATCATATCTATACTGGCTGTGACAAAGCAAACATTCCAAACCATTTCTTTTTAACGTCAGAAGCAGTGTGAGCACTTGGAGTTTGTTAGAAATAGAATGGGACAATCAGGGATTTGTCGCGATGCACTGCATCAAATGTCGACAAAATAATATTATAATGGGTTCTATAATGAGCTTTATTGTCTTTAGTCTTGTCGTGCCGCTCGTGTCTGGTTTAGACACAGAGTAACAGATTTTCTTGTTCCAGAAGCCATTACAGTTGGATATATGCCACAATAGGGAAGAAAGGCAACTTTCATGCCGGTTTAACTTTGTCCTCTCATTTCCTCTTTACATATTTTTCAACGCAGTTAATCACAATTAATCACACTCTTTTTGGAGATTCCAAAAGGACACCAAATAAACAAATGTTTAAAAAAAAAACTTGTTTACAAGTTTTAGTTTGAAAACTTGTTTGAGCTTAGTTTGAGCTTGTTTACATTTTAGGCAAGTTGCAATACCGATCTGATCACACAGAGATGCCAAAAAAAACCCTAAATCAATCACCTTCAGTTGACTGTATATATCTACTACAGCACACAGATCCATTCAGTATTACTAAACACAGCACATGACAAATCAAACCATTATCCTAAATCTGTGTGGAAACAACACAAATGTACTGAAATGTGTCTGTGCATAAATACAACAAGTCAGTGTGTTGAGAGCACACATAAATGGTTTGATTGTGCATCAATAAAACAGACTCAAACGTGCTTAGTGTACAACTCCTGTATGTCACCGCAATCGGCATTACCTTGATTGAAATCCTCATCCATCACAACTTTACTAGTGAGACGCTGGTTTCCTTTATCCAGCCGAGAATCGTAGTTTGCGCCTCATCTGGCCATTCAGCGGTGGGATATTTTGATCTTCCGTTCAGTCTGTATTTCAGACACAGTGCGGTGTCTGAGGAAACAATCACGGAATATGACAGGGCTCGTGTTTTAAAGGCAAACACACACTGGACTGAATAATTAAGGCTTTCTCTTTTCCATCTCTGATGTAATCAGCCTGGTTCTCTTCACATTAGCGCTGTTTTGGACTTTTACAGCTAACACCTTTGTGTTGTTATATTGTGTTAGTTTAACAAAATCATCAGCTGAAGTTTATTGCTGATATAGATATGTATATATGTGTTTGCAGACACATGGTCAACAGTCACAGTCGAGTGTTCACATACCGGCTTTGATGTTCCAATATGGAGGGCGGCTTACATGTAGTGGCCCATAGAAACAGACGCTAACTGCCTGTGTGACGTAAATTATGTTGCACTTTCATGTGCTTCAGTAATATATGTATATATATATATATATAATAAACATGTAGTTTTACAAGTAATTATTTGTTTTAATTTGAATATTTTATCAATACTTGGATGTAGCTCATTAGCTCAAAAGGTAAATGTATATAAATAATTACAATTCATTAAAATCCATTATAATTATTTATATCAGCTGCCAGTAGTAACTGTAGCAGAATTAATATTACCATCAATTAATCTGCTCACGTTTCACAAAGAAAATAAGTCCATTCTTTGTGTGCTTGGAATTGAGAAACAGTCATAAGACAAGTCATTTCACTCGGCAGCCATCTTTAAAACGCTTCCCAGGCATGCAAGTGCAGCTCCTATCTTTTTTCACCAACCTTATGATTAAATTTCTTATTTGAAATCACTAATAAAATCTGACAACTGCCTCATAAATGTTTTTTTATGCTCCAATAGCGTTACAAAAGCTTTTTTTTAGGCTAGACCAGCCAATGCACATGTGCAGTCCTAGCGCGTCTTAGAACAATGACTGTTTCTATACTGTGATCAGCTCATTTATTGAAAAGGCAGGTCTATTCCGCCATATTGTGTGTTACACTTTCTCCAATTCATAAGTAATAGGAGTGCACCGTCTCTGGATCTAAAGTCTTTGAAGCAGTTCAGCATGGAGAGAACGGCATGTTGCATCACTGCTGCCGATAACAGTTTGTCATACGCACGGGCGCTGGAGATGAGTAGCATTGCTTTTACCAGCCTCAGATTAGGTGTAAATTGTGCTTCTGTGCATCTTAAGGATGCTACATGCACTTTTACAAGTTGTTTGAATTAAAATGTGTGTTGGCAGTGTGTGTACACAACCACCCTATAATGATAAAAATCCACCTAGTGTTTTTTTTTTAATCTGGTTAAATGTTTTCCCTTTTCTCAAATCGAGCCGATCTCAGATGCCTGTCTGTGTGACGTCACACGTCCCACGATAGTTTGATTGACAGTAGCGTTTCAGCACAGACTGGACTGGTGTCTTACCTCAGACCCGCCCTGAGTGAGCTGTCATCAGTCCGCCATTTCACCGCTGGAGCAGATGTAGACAAGAATGACTCCTAAGCGATTGAGGTGTTCTGTTGTTGGATGTAATAATGAACATAGCAGACGTCATTTACTCCCGACATCTGAGCTGTTGAAGACGCAGTGGATTACGTTTGTTTTTGAAGAGAATGCGCCCCCGATCTACATTAATGCGTCTATGTTTGCTCGAATCATTCGTGATCCAGCTTCACCTACAGAAGT